CGGCGAATTTCCACGCTTCCTTAACCATCGATGCACTATTTCCAACCAATACTTCCACTTTTCGATATAAAAAGGGTACCTCAAAATTATCGTGAACTGTGCTTTTAACCAAACCCGGAGGGATAGAACGGTACCATACCAAAATTGGATTCCCGCATGATGTGTGTGATGCTACGCTGTTTGATCCTACACCGATTCCGCCTGTTCTAATTTTTTTAGCTTGAATAAGCTTGATACTATGTGAATTGGTTAAGTGACTGAGCAAAACACGCACTTATTTTATTGTGCCATTTTTTAAAGAAATAAAAGAAAGTGGCGGACGGGCTATTTTTCTCAAGCTTCGACATCGATTATGCGTATCTTCTAGCATTATACAATGAAAAAAGTATGAGAACCTTATTTATAAACCTTACTTCATTTCAACACTATCCAATTAACTACCCTGATTTATAAGGAATTCAATTCGATTTGATGGTAATTGTAATCATGGGTTTCGAACATTTTTAAATGGACAAGGAAAATCTGCTCTAAAAGAACTTCACTGCATTTCCGTTACTGCATTGCCAGCGCAGTGTTGGTTTTTGGAATTTTAGGTATTTTTAAGATGTGCCTGTCAGAGGCAAAATCAAATCCAGGGATCAGAGAAGCTTGATTGTTGCCCTCCGTTGATATGCCATTAAGTTCGCCGCTTTACTCTCTTTTACTGGAACCATTATTCACTTGTTTATTTATTTATTCCTGCTGCGGATAAATACTGTTAAATATATCAGCAATGTTACTAAAACTAGAAGACCCTTAGAAGTTCCTACAGTGCCCACAGTCATTATTTCGGTTGGGAATTTCATTTGGCCCTCATTGTGCCATGACTAGGGTACTCACGTAAGCATCTGCCAGACCGCGTCATGTCCTTCCGAGGGAAATTCGAAGTGACATGCATTGTTGGATGTAATAAGATGCGCACTTATCTTGGCGCTGTTTTCACTTCAACTGCTCAACACAGCTTTTTGAATCTTCAACAAGCCCTACCCAATGTAAATAGGTCTTACTAGTTAGGACTCAATTTTGATTGTGTTTTAGTACTTCTTTTCGAGAGACGTAGAAAAAGTATTCACTTTCAATCATGGTTCCGGTCTTTCTCGCTCAGTTATCACCTCATTAGCGCTTTCTTAGATCCCTTGAAATCTTTTAGAAAATAAAAATAAAAGCAGGGTTTTTTTTGGGAAAGAATAGATTGTTATGAAAGCGGTATGGAATGGCGGCTGGTGAAGTCACTCAAAAGGCATTCGCTTTGGAGGACGAGTTATCGTACATCTATTACGGTCTCAGTCAGCAAATCTCCTTTTTCGTGAAAACCAGAAGTGATATGACGTACAGATGCGAGCCCAGCTGAGTGTATAAATCTGCCAATCGATTCAACGGGGATGCTACCCTGTTGAGAACCTACTTGATATCGGAATATCCGTTCTTAAAAAGGTCGAATTTGAAAAGTTGAACTTGGGATTAAGTCAACTAAGCAGCATTGCCAGCAGAGTGTACCCAAGTGGTGGAATCTCGCCTAGCTGTAATAGGTACCTGGGAACGGAGCCTCGGTAAGTGCTGCATTGTATTCTGGTTTGAGTATTTCGAGCGAGGAGGTTATGGTGAAGAAGAGTGCCTTAGCGGTAGGAGCGGAGTTGTAAATGTTTAGGGCTGGACGGTATCTTTGATACGGAGCAAGCAGAATGTATAAAGGGGGAACGGCATCAGGCCGCAGTCGCGGACAGCAAAAGAGTTCTATGACTCCGGGAAAAAATTATGCACTTGGTGCATCCCAGGAAGTTGAATGGATTCCGAGGACTGGGTCGCCCTATACAAGTGTTTTTCGCAATTTGACTACGGCAGCTTTCTTCTTTCAACTCTTGAATCCCTTCTTTTCTCAAAATCCAACTATTTCGTGCCCATCTCTGTGATTCCTCTCCCTTTTTTCCAAAGATTTTTTCAATCGTTTCGGGTATTTTTTTGTCATGTCCGAGCAGCTCTTCATTGACGTAGATAGATTAGTGTTTTTAGCTGTCATCAAAGTAAACATTGCTAAACAAACATTGAAACGAAGTGATTTGGACGTTCAACAGAATGAAATGATTGGTTACTGCATGAAATTCCCCTGTTCAATAACGTGCTGTTTTCAGCAACATCTCAGCCGGAGCCATCACGAGCTCGACTTCATCGACGCTACCGGTGGATTTGCAAGGAGGTGTGTAGTTTTTCCTCGGCTTTTGTTCTTTTTAAAGAGCTTGAAAGAATTCTCGGCTCCCAAAAAGACAAACATTGGACGAGTTTTCCTGTCGATATGAGGGCTTGTCGGTGTTAAAAAAGAAGTTGTTCAAGATTTTTTCTGTGTCGGTTATTCTTTGAAGTGCTCTCCAATCTAAGCCGATGGATGCATAGGTCCTGGGGCTTTGAAATTTATTCTTTGAAAATGTAGACTTCGAGCCAACACAAGTCGAAAATTTTCTATTGCTATCACTATTTATTATCTTTTATTTGCTAAAACGGTTTTTTTGTTATTTATGATGAAGAAAGGGGATTTGGGAGTTGGCAAAGGTTCGAAGTCTTCTCAATCTTTTAGCTACTGGCAATGTGCTTTCTCCATTCCATGTAAGAATTATGAGAATATTTATCCTTTTTTGAATTAACCAGATAGATAACTTTTCCGCATAGCGATGGTAAGCCCCGCCCATTCGAGGTGCACCCCACCCACTTAGGGAGGATCACCAAAATCTTTTCTGCACTGCAGCTGCTTATCTGTAGTTTTCTTTGAATTAGCTGGAAATTCTAAATTTTTGTGAATTGGCCTTTAGGAAATTGACTGGTTAACTGTTCTGTCAGGTAAAAGATTTTTTTTTAATCACCTCACAGTTTCGAAGAAGTCAGCGACTTCCTCATAGACACTGAGCAATGCGGCCTATACACACCACGAAAACTTCATTCCGATTTCTTGAACGCTGACACCGATTTAATGCTGATTATCATTCTTTAGCGTCAACACCCCTCCTTCACCGGCTCTGCAGAGGCGTAAATCGGAAACCGAGCTCATTGTGCAGAATCCAAGTGCGTTCAGCCTAGCCGACAATCATCGGAAACCTTCTCGACAAGATTCTGACGGTGAGATCGATTATATTACTACGGAATTTTTTTCAGTTTTCGCATAGGATTTCCCCCTATTGATCCTTAGTTTTTATTTGTATTAGCAGGGTCATAATTGGATGACCTAGTGATTTCCTGATCATAAATTACAGCTTGTCATCGCCCGGAGTCGAGTTTCGGGTTTTGAAATGAAGAATGAAGGATGTGAATGGGGGATGAGTTTTATGGTCCAATTTGAAAAGGATCGAGTACGGGGTCGTTGGATTCGCTCTTTGCCATGCTCGATATTAGTTCAAATACATCGGGAACATTCAACTCTCCCACTTTGTTTATCTGGGGACCGTGTACGTTGTGTAAGTCACCTGAATAACTGATTAATTCTGTCCTCCATAGCTCCTTCGGAACAAATGCCCGGAACGAATACATCCACGTAGCGAGACTCCTTAAAAGGAAGGAATGAGCTGGGGGAGAGAGGGTTGATGGGACAGCAAAAAACAAAGTGTTATGTGAACTCGCGGAAAACGAACTAATTCAGACCGTCCTGTGTTGAGACGACGTCGTTACACACGAAAACAACGGAAATCGGTGACGATCGATCCGGAAACAAGTCTGATCCTCGCCGCCGGTGCTCATTCGAGCTCAAGTGACGAGGAGCTGCAAGTGAAAAACGTCTCACGAGCGGTTAGTCCGGTTGAAGAACTTTTTCAGAAGACTCGGTCACTCGTTATTCCAGCTTGTTGTTCCAATCATTCTATTCTGCTATTTTTGTTCCCTACTATGATCTTTTCCGAAATTTTTTATAAATTTTTTTATCTAAATTTATTTTTTATATGTCACAATGGGATTCTTTCTTTTTTCCAGTTCCTCTCACTTTTTTCTGGTTTTTTCAGTTTTTTTCTGTTTTTTTATCTTTTTTTTCTTCTCAAGCGATTCATCACATTACACACCACTCCCCATGAGC